TTTCATTCAAATCCCATTGTTTTCATTCTAATTCTGTTGTTTGTTTTAGTAAAGTGTTTGTGCAGCAAGGAAGAATTCAGGCCTCTCAGCGGTTAAGCTCCACTGTAGACTTGTCTGAACAAGTCAGTGCTGCCCTTAATAATATTAATAACACCCAAAAATTTGATTCTGTTCATCTGCATGTAGCGTTTTTAGTGGGAGAAACATTTCATCACTTGTTCATGTGACTTCTTCAGTCTCAGCTGACTGCAGGTTTCCCCAACCTTATAAACAGGACATTTGCACAATCACTGAAACTAGCACCACTGAATGAACAATGGGCTACGAGGTCAGTTCCTTAATCATTAATGCAAATTCTCTCTCACTGAAAACACCACGTTCAGATGAACAGAATCAACCTTTTGGGATGTACGTACCTGGATGATTGAGCATGCATCAAGAAAGATCAATAATACTTAATACTGGATGTGCTTTAACACTGAAAAATGATGAAGACAGTCTCTGCAAACACTCATTTATCTACTCTGCCCTTTCTTGTCTTTGCAGATGGAAGGACCCATAAACACAGTTGTTTGTCTTTGTTGTGTGTGTAGTGTGTGTGTGGTGTGTGTGCGTGTCCTGATGGTCCAGAGAGGTTGAAACACCAGCAGCTTGTGTGTAGTGATGCTGTGACAGGGCCAGGCTACAGGGAGGTGGAGTGGACAGCAGAGCTTCATCCAGCAGTGACAGAAATCAGACGTGCAGATGGCTGACAGTGCTGTAAAAATGCTCTGAGAGCTCCTCTGTTAGACACCATGTCATCCTTTTGTGTTCTTTCATCACAGTGTCTTTTTGCAGACACTAGGTTCAGTTTTATTTTCTTTGAAAAGTTACCTAAATACATTTTAATATCTTTTGTATAATTGATGTAATTTTAAGTTGTTTATCATGGTTTTGAAATCTATCGTGTGACAATGACTTCAAGTATCCTTCTTGAAACAGTATTTTTTTTCATCTACATAATCTGTATAGTGCAACTGATCAGGGAAAAAATGTTCAATAATTGAAAAAAGAGATTTGTTTTATACTTTCTAACATAATAACTGGGACCATGTGATATAAACACTATCGTAGAGAATTGCAAACTGTCCAGAGTTTGGTGTACTATATATCTTCAGTAATTTAGATAATGAAAGTATCCAGTGGTTCAGCAGATGAAGTGCAGGAGGTAGAGGTTTTTTCATGGATGCTAAATCCATCAGTTGTGTTGTTACTGTTAGAGATGTTACACAGTCATGTGACTTCCCTGGGTGAAGACAATTGGCAGCAGTTTGAAGTTTGAAATTCCTCAGCTGTTGAACAAGGCTACGTTCACACTGCAGGTCTCAATTCCAATTTTTTTGATCAAATCTGATTTTTTTTGTCTGATTGTTCACACTTCAAATACAATGTGACAGCAAACGTGCTCTAGTGTGAACAGTTCACGGCCCTCAAACCGGCCCGCGTGTGCAAAAGAAGATGTCACACACAACATGCTCTGTTTGCAGAAGTAAAAATGGCGGCTACAGAGCCAGTAGGTTGTTGCAGCAGTCTATCAATTTCTGCACAGTCTCAACCGACAGAATTTTGATAAATTAATTACAGAAAGGACACTGAGAAAAAAGAGAGCCTATGCTTTAACAATGGCCTTGTTTGCAGCAGTGGCTGCTACCTCCATGCACAGGTATATATTGACACGGAGTCGGAACCAGGAGTGGTGGGACTGGTTTGTCTTCAGATATGTATCTGATTCAGTACCACATACGAAAGTGACCCAGGTCGGATTTGGAAATATCAGATTTGTGCTGTTCAAACTGTCAGACAATGATCGGATATGGGTCGCATAGGGTCAAAAAGTTGGATTTGATGCGCTTTTACCTGCAGTGTGAGCGTAGCCTTAGTTATCTGTCAATAATGAACCTTAATGTTTTATATGGATAATAAAGATCAATAAATGTGTGGATTTGACTCAAAGGAATGACTCTGACTCATGGAACGACTTCCTTCCTGCTTTTCTGTCATGTCGATCAAATTCAGACCTCTAGCTTAATTAGTCACCCACCACCACAGCTTTCCAATTAAAGCTCAACATTCCTGCTTCAGCCAGTCCACAAATTTTAATGAAGTGTTTTTTGTGTTAAACCTGGCAGTGATATAGATTCCAACAGCATCATACTCCTGTTGCATATGGGATCACCCACATCTGTACTGGGTCACGAGGTGGGGTTAAGGCAGACAAGCCTGCAAATAATTTATAAACTTTTTAAAACAGTTAAAAATGCTTTAATTTATTAGAAGGAGGATATTTCTACGATCTCTCCAGGTTTCAGATTTCACTACACCAC